TATCTTATTCACCAAAAATAATTATTTAAAAAATGCTTTGGGGGGCTGGCAGTTTGTGTGCTCTGCTTCAGTTCGCTGGTTTAGATCCCAGGCACAGATCTACGCACCGCTTACCAAGCCATGCTGTGGCAGGCATCCCACATATAAAGCAGAGGAAGAGGGGCACGAATGTTAGCTCAGGGCCAGTCTTCCTCAGCAAAAAGAGGAGGATTGGTGGCAGATGTTAGCTCAGGGCTACTGTTCTTCAAAAAAAAAAAAAACTGCTTTGGTTTTGATAAATTAAAAACTAGTTAGAATCTAATGTCAATAGATACTTATATGCTTCTTAAACTCAAGGACAAAATTATGTGGGTCTCTTTTGGTTTGCTGGATCTAGTTTGTTTCCAGAACTGTTTACAGAATTTGGCACAAATATCACCTAGTTTGTGGTCTGTCCACAAAGCCGGAGATTTTGTCTAGATCATTTATATAATCCCTGTGCCTAAAACAGTACCTAGTACATATTTGTGGATAAAATGCAAATAACTCTGGAAGAAAAAAAAAATTAAGCCAAAAGGAGTCTGCAAAATCTTTCTAGTCTATTCCTTTTAAAGAAGAGGAAATTGAGACTCAAAGAGGAAAAGTTAATTGCTTAAGACCACAGAGCTGGTTAACAGCACAGATTCAGAAACCATCTGTTTTATTGAAAATTGTCTAATTTTTGTTTCATAATGTGCTCCTGAATAAATATTGAAGTGAATCAGTGCTTTTTTTCACATTTATTCAGTGTATATATAATTTGCTTAATACTGTGGTGATAAGAAGGTGAGTAAGAACTGAATCATCTTTCAAATACTTTACATTGCAAATGGTGTAGCAGACACTTTATACAACCCACCGCAATGTCAGTGAGAAAGTGATGTGCTGACTGGAAGAGGAATGAGAGGCGGCTTCGTGGAGAAAATATGTTTGAGGTGAGGGGAAGAGAATTCCAGAAAGAGGGAACAGATTCAGCACTGTTGACTGTTTTTTAAGATGTCACGTATTGGAGAACATCAAATTGTTTAATTTAGCTAAATCATAGTATCGCCAAACGGCAACTGATATTACGAGCCAAAATAAAGGGCTTCTAAAAAACTTTTTTAAATTTTTCAGTACATCCAAATATACTACCTTTAGAATATATTAATACTGACATCACATCTCTCACTTTCTTGTTTGTCTGCTATCAAATATGAGCAAGCTTAAGAAAAAGAATATCTTAAAATAGTCTAAGAAATGTCTGTACTTTTTTTTTTTTTGAGGAAGATTAGCCCTGAGCTAACTGCTGCCAATCCTCCTCTTTTTTGCTGAGGAAGACTGGCCCTGAGCTAACATCCGTGCCCATCTTCCTCTACTTTATGTGTGGGACACCTAACACAGCATGGCAAGCCAAGCAATGCCATGTCAGCACCCGGGATCCAAACAGACGAACCCCGGGCTGCCAAGAAGCGGAACATGCGCACTTAACCAGTGCACCACTGGGCTGGCCCCATGTCTGTACTTTTTAAATGCTTTGTATTATCATTTTATAAATTTTAAAAAAGAAGCATTTTTCTTTTCCAAAGTGATGCGATCTCTTGGGGTCAAAAGAGAACTATTTCATTGCTCAGTGATGGATTAAGGAGAAAGATGTTGCATAAAAAGCCCTGGACTCCTGAGCTTAGAAAACGTGGGCTCACATTCAATGAGTTAATGGCTATAAGAAGGAAGCCTGGCTTAAAATATGCCCTCAACTGGTAGTAACTATTTTTCTGTTATGGCTGTTGTTTCTATAGTGTAATGAAGACCAGCAGAAACAAAGTATTTAGAACATTTAATATTAATTACTAGTCATGAATAAACATATTCTATGTTATATATAGATATCTTTATGCTAGGTAGGATTAATATCCACACTGAGTAGGCTTGAGGAGATCATTTTCTAAACCATTTCTGGTTTTCATATATTTCTGTGTATGCTTTTGCTTTCCTGCCAAATTGCTAATTCTTTATTTCTGTCCTGCCTCCAACATTTTCTAGTTTCCAACTATTTTTGTAATTAATATTTTTTCTATAATCAGTAACAGTAACCAAATTCAATGTCTTATTGCGTTGAGTTGTTGAATTCTATTTTAGTTCCTATTTTTCCCATTAAAATATCCACTCTCAAGTCACATGATAAAAAAAAGTTTCCTTAGGTTGAAGCTTGAGAGACATGATCTTGGCATAATTATTTTTTTCAAACAAACAAAAAAATTCAACCACATATTTTTAACTTAAAATGGAACTCTCTCCTGGCTTTATCCAATATCTTCATTGGGGAGTGGGAAACACTTGATTTCAGAATTTCTGGCAACCAAACATTAAATGACTGACCAATATAGAAAAATACTATGGATTTCACCATATTGATTTCTATCACTGTTAATGAAATTGCACTGTCAAAGTACCTTCAACATATGATCTCTGTGCTCCCATACTTACATTATGAGGTGGTATAACCAATGCACATAAATTATGGAGAAGCCACAGGCAGAATTAGTGCAAACTTCCCATGATTTATAAGGGAAAAAATTTTAATTTTTTGTTGACATGAAAAAAACTCTCCAATGTATAGTTTGACTGTACTATTTCCTTTCCTGCTTGAGCTACCAGGTTACCTCATTCTGCTAAGTGACAATATCTAAAGCTGTGAGCACAATAATACAATAGCAGGATAATCCTAGGAAAAAAGGCTGACTAGTCAGAGTATATTAGGTAATATTAAGCCCTTAGAAAGAGCTTAACTGGTGCCAGGCATTATTCTAAATGTTTTATGCTACACTAAAGAAGAAAGGGGAGGTAGAGATAAGGCAACCAACAGCAAGGAACGAGAAGTGGAAAGTGGACAGAAATGGGCTTTACAAGGAAAGGAATGAAGATAAAAATAATAAGATGCAAATAAAGATATCCCATGGTCAAGTGTTGTGGGATAGACTTATCAGTAAGACTGTCAAAGCCCATTTGAAAAGGGTACATAATTTGTGACTTTACTCTTTCTAAAGTCATCACTGTCAAGTAGGTCAAAATTATATGAAGTCTATGCCATCTCCATTTTTTATTATTTCCCTGGTTGTGAAGACGTTCTCTGCTCCCCTGAACTAAACTGCAGACTCAAATAATATAACTTAAATCTTAGGCTCCTCTGGAATTAATTTATTCATTAGTCAATCATTCTAACATATTCACTGGGAGAAACAGTCTATTGTGAGGGTAAGATCTTGCAGTTGGGCCAGATTGCCTCTGTTCTAGCGGTGAAAGTGAGTAAATACCTTACCTCTCTGTGCCTCGGTTTCCTCATACGAAAAGTGGGGATAATTAATAACACCTACCACATAAGGGTGTTGTGAGGATTAAATGAGTTACTATATGGAACCTGCTTGGAACAGTACCTGAAACAGTGAGGGTACAGTAGTGTAACAACTGGAAAACATCCAGTTCCCAGTAGAGAGGAAACATCCTCATAGCTCTTTGTTTAGAACTCAACTAGGACACTTAAAAATATCTGGTGAATGAAATTTCATTAGCCCTATGAAGATAAGTAACCAGGAGTGTATACATGCTTTTAAACAGGAGGAAAAATAAGGGAACTACTTTAAGATTAATTTTAAAAGTAAGAGAAACAAAACTCCTCTTACGGCAGGTAGGGGCACTTATCAAAAGGTACCCACACCGTTGGTCTTCTGGCAAACTGAAGTGGCAAGGCTTCCTCGTAGCAGCCTTTTTGAGACGTCCCTGTGAGAGACCCTGTGTGATGAGGGTCCAGTTCCTTAACTCACCTGGGCCTGGTTTCCTAACTTTCAAAATGAAGGAGTTGAACAAGGTGACCTCTAAGGCTCGTATTCACATATAATATTACCTTAATAAATTTGGTGAATTTTTCTGCAGGCATGAATGTCTCAAGATAGGATTTTAAGGACCATAAAAGGCATAAGAACATAAGAATAGCACAAAATTAAAAGGCTGAATTCATGTCCACAGGGTATGAATTTACAGTGAAGAAAATGAACACTCTTAAGTTTGAGGCTGCAACGACTTGGTTACTGGACTATCGAGGTATTCCACCACCATATATGTTACATATTTGTTTCAGAGTGGACTCTTATGATGCACATCCTTAAATAATAAGGAATATAATAACAGATACCTTCCTTATAACATACATGCTCCTTATCATGTATCAAATACAGTTCTGAATATTATAATTCAGTATTAGGAAAAAGTAATACCCAATTAGAAAGACAAAATATTTTTTATTTACGTGCATTCCAAAGTATGAGAAAGAAAAAACGTCTCTAAATTAACAGGAAAAATTAGAAGAAAAAGAATTTCTGAATAGTCTTTGAAATGACAGAACTCCTATTATAAAGGAAAGTGTTTCTTAATATGATAAATTTTCAAAATTATGTTCAGTGCCAATTCTATATGTATTTTAAGTCACAACTGCTAAATGTTTTCCTTGAAACAATGAGCAGCTTCGAAGCTGAAAAAACACATAGGAAAAGAGATATTTTTAAGGGGAACTAAAGGTTTCATACCCCATATGACACTAGGTTATGGTATGGTTCATAAAGTAACAGGCGCAGAGACAGCATACAGAGCAACGCTTTACGTATCTGTAAAAGCTAACAAAGAAAGTGAGTCTGAATAATTAAAATGTAGAGTAATTAAAAGACTTATACTACTAAATGATGCAATATAAAATACATATTGCAGTTGTTGCAATATATAACAAGGAAAAGATCCTGAAATATTTTTAAATCAATGGCTCTGAAAGAAAACCAACAAAATAAATACTTTAGTCAAATAAAAACCTAACAAACATGCAGAAAGCCTTCTGGAGGTTAAGATTTTCATTCTTGACTATTATATTAGATAAAATAAAGCTTACAGTAACCCCTTTAAGAGTATACAAACCACATCTGTTTTTCTCGGTCCGTATTCAGCTTGGTTTACCATACCTGTGGGTAGCTGTCAGTCCTTGGCAAAACTGATATATCATAGGTGGCGGCGAAATGGCTTTTAGCTTGTTGTATTTGGCCATAACGTTCTCTTTTTCTCCATTTGGCCCTTCGATTTTGAAACCAAACCTAATTTTTTAAAAAAGTAGAATTTTAGCTAAGGAATATTTGATAATGTAAATGTGATATTAAAAGGCTTCAAATGAGAAAGGTAAACCAGGTCAACAAAATTACAAATAAAGGCATTTATGTCAGAAAAGGATCCACAGATTGTACTTTCTATCGTGTCCTGATATGATAAGTGGGACGTCCATGAGGCGATATAATAGAAAGAGTTAAGATATTCTCAGCAAATTTAACGTGTGTGTCTGCGACTCTGCTTTCTCATTTATGGAGAACAAAAAGGAATTAGACTATATGATCTTGAAGACTCCTTATATCTCCAAATTATGATAGCTAATCTTTTCAGAAAATGCTGTAAACCTGGAAGACATCCATAACTTTTTAGTTTGGGTTTAGCACATAATATTAACCTAGCCAATCTATAAACCAATTAATATCTGGGTCTGTCAAAACAACTGTCTTTAAAACATGTCACAAAGTGAAAATTCTTCTGGGTTGTACCCATGCTTACATAATCTTAGAAAAATTTAAACATAAAGATTGTATCTAAAACATCTGGCATCAGTGGAAATATCATGATTATTTACAAACAGAAAATATTAAGATTACATATTATGTCGAGCATGATAAAGACCACAGGTAAAATAGAATCATGTGAAGTTGAGCTATGGTTTTAAAATATACAAATGTGCTTATTACATAAATTATACCACTTATCCCATTTATGTTCCAGTACGGAAAATGCTCAGAAATCTTCACAATCATTCTTCAATTTGAAACACTTAGAGGGAATATAAGTAAGAAAAGAAATGGCGTAGATATAACCAAGTGTCAAGAAAGCCTGTGAGTCAGTGCAGCCTCTAAAAAGGTCACCAGGGAGTCCTCAAATTTCTCTAATTACACACTAGAAATACGTATAATGGCAGCTGTCTTCCTCAGAGGGTTAAATATTCACTCATTCACACTTGTGGCTCTCCAGAATCTTCACTTTACTGCTTTAGTGCATTAAAAAGCGATACAGAAAATTATTTCCAATATATATAATTTTAACATTTTTGTGTGGACATTACACTAGCAATTTTCGGGAAGCTCTTTTAGTCTTTACAAATCTATGTTCAGAATATAAAATATTTAGGAAAGAAGCTAGAAATCAAGCATAAAAATGCAAATTATAAAAAGCCTTTCATTAAAATTTACTTGAAATTCTCTTTTTTTCACATTCAATTCTAACCGTTTGTATCTTTACCTTCACACTGATGGCCACATGCTAACCCTCAGTTTAATGTTTAACTACATGCTGCAAATCCGAGACGGCCCTTCAAAGAGTTTTCAGCAATTAAAACAAGGCAAAGAGAGCTACCTGTTGAAAATGGTTTCTCAGAACACTGCTGGTAAATGTGGATTATCCGCTATGCCCAGGGCTCCAGACAACATCAACAACAAAACAAAACAAAACATATTTTCTTGCTATCTCCACAGACAGGCACCAGCAGCACATGGAGGGAATTCAGTAATGGGGTGTTATTCTTTTCATTGAGAAAAAACTAGACAATCTCCTTAAAACGGGTGCCAATTACCACTGCGATGTGAAACACAGGAAAGAGAACAACCTGAGTAAATTAGGTTCAGGTTGGCTCTCTGTGCGTGTTCTTAAGACAAAAATTAATCAGGACTTGATGAAATGTTAAGGGGAAAACACGCATTGTGCACAGCTGACCACTCTATGTGTAAACATATTTTTCTATGGTTACAATATAACTAATTTAAACATATGAACATGAGACAAAAAAAACACACAGGGGCTCATGTTAACACTTGACAATTCTAAAATTCTTCCTTACCATCTACTTTCTACATATTTACTTCCTGCACTAAGCTGAAGTAACCATTTGCCTCCACAAACTAAAGCGAAAATCTGCTGTTTGTTATTCCTGCCCCCCCAGAGGCTGTCTTTAACAATGCAAGGCCTTCCAAAGGCTTCATCTTCAGGAGGAATATGATTACTCCACTCGGAACCAAATTTCTCACTCCTTTATCCAGTTCTCTATTCTAGTGGGTTATGGGAATTATTCACAAAATTCACTATTTTCCTACTTAGAGTAGTAGAAACACACAAAGAAAAAGGCCATTCTCCTGAATTACTGTTACTTGGGAACAAATAAAATATACATTAAAAATAACAAATCTGGTAAAAATAAATATACCTGACAAGTAGAATTTTATGCATTATAATTTTGTTTTTCAAATTACTAAAAAATTTAGCATATTGAATCCAATTTGATGAGTCAAATTTAATTTATAAATGTAGTTGAGTATATATTTAAAAATTACTTTAAGGTCACCATTTCTATCACTTCTGCAAAAACTATGTAAGTTATTTAGATTTGAAAAAAATGATAATGGAATGTCACGTATTGGCAACTACCAGGGTCAGAAAATCATAAATGAACTATATGATCTTTCTTTAATAATATATAGGGAGAATAGGTTATGGTATATATAACAATTGGGAGTTTGTGAGATTTTTTTCATTTTTCTCTGTTTTATTATAACACCAACCTCAATAAAATTATAGAATTATGGGCCATTATGCAAATACAAATATTATAAACAGACAAAAACTTACCAATACTACCTGGTATCTAACCTAAAAAGAACCTCAATGTCTGATAAAATAGAAAATGAAGTAAGAGACATGGATTACTAGTTTGGATAGCTATGATTCTGTTTCCTGTCTTTTAAAAATTACTTTTCAAAATCAGATATATGTTATCATATATTTTCAAAACAATTGTTAATTTTTACGCCTATGTAATAACTCAAATGTTCTTTTGTTTTATGTTTTTGTGTGAGTTGTCAAATCCTTTGCAAGTAAAAAAGGAATTTTAGTAAACCTACATGCATATATTACATTGTTCTCTACCTCAGTTGGAGAATCAGTTTCCCCCGTTGTGGCAAAATCCAACTATGAATTATTCTAACACGATCCCTGACCCCCAACACACACCCAAGGCCTTATTGGGCTCCTACCTGGACCCGGGCCTCAGTGAGCTCTGTCCTCAGAGCAAGCTGTTCTCTGACATATACATCCGGGTAATGGGTTTTCTGAAAGACCTTCTCCAGCTCCTCCAGCTGCAAGCTGGTGAAGGTGGTTCGGTGTCTCCGCTTCTTGCTGCTGGATACGTTGCTGTCACATTTATCCCCAAGTTCATCCAGCTCTCCCTTCTCTGGCATCCCTTTCACAGGAGACATCCGGAGACTGCTACAGTTGTCCATCGCTCTATTTAGTTCCGTGTGAAGAGGCTGTCCTTCGACTTTAGTGATCCCATAGTTCACTGTACCCGGGGGGGAAACACAGTTCTCAGGATTGTAAAACACTTCCATGAAAGAATTAAGTGGAAGTAACTTAGAGCATCAGGAAAGCAGTCTGTTCATGATTCATTGTGCCAGTGTTAATTTGATTACCACATTATGACCAATTATTAACTCACTTTGGGCAAGTTTAAAACCATTTAAAAATATGTACATGGACCTCATATAATTTGCCAAAATTCACAGCTCTACGTTACAGGACTAATGTTTATGCACATAATTTATAATCAAATAAAGGTGGTCAAATTAAAAGATGCTGTAGATCTTTTTAAAAAAAACCTAAGTGAGTATAATTTTGGAAAAGGGAAGCACATTTAATGTAAGTCATATATTTATTCATAGCAGAGAAATGAAGCTACTTCCATGGCCCAAGAAAGAGATGTCAATTTTAAATAAAATCTGTAAATCAAAATATAAACAAACTATTCCCAAAAGTTATCTTCGTCCTCCACACAAAACCTATGGATTATAGATTCAAGATACGATATTGTTTCTACTATATTTCAAATATTTCGACCGTATATTCATGTCTGCATTTTAAATGTTTTTTTCAAAAGCTGACCTATTAAATTATAAAATAAATTTCATATCAGTTTCTGGAAGTGCTTCCTATAAAAAAGAATAAAATTTAAATAGACTTCTTCAGCTTAAAAACTCACTTGCAATTCTTTCTAAATATGTCACATTTATGCTTAACTTATGAAATATGTTTTAAGACAGAAAGCTTTATTTTTCCCTCTAGTCAAGCACAGAAATTAAAACATTTATTAAAAGATTACAAAAGATGTCATCTGGTATTCTGTTTAGGGGTGTTTTAATTTCAGTGATTTCCTCCAGAGTGGACTGCACGCCTGTAGTACGATATAAAACAAAAATGGATCATATGGTGCCACACACACGCACACACACAAAAGCAATAGATGCACATAATGAAATGGGAGGCATTTTTTTTGAAGTAAAGTCAACTCAGTCAGAACAATAATTTCCAATGAGTTGTCATACTTTTTTCGTTTTTGTCTGTTTTTAAATTCTCGTAAGGTATTAAACTGCTTTAATCATATAAAAATGTATTGAACTTTAATGCCTCTATAACTTAAATGCTTAATAGCTTTCATGCAAAAGAAGATGCGATGTAAAACTAGACATAAAGAAGAGCCATGACTGATTAACAATACGGTTTTGTCTCCGTGGGCAGGGTTCCACCGGGAACTGCGCTAATTAGGGATGGGGGCGGGGAAGCAATGGCGAGGCTAAGTAAGGGCAGCTCGGAGAAAGACAGGAACTTTCCTAAATTTAGCGGACGGCTGCCTACATTCATCTCACTAAATACTTTCCTATTAAAATTCATCCTAATAGGGTGAAGATCGCTTAAAAGTTGATAAAGTACCCCAAATCACCTATTTCTCTTCTTATTTTGGATTTCCGACAATCTAAAATATTATGATTGAGTCCTACCCAGCAGTCAACACCGGACGTTACAGAATCGTTTTTTAAAAATCCTGCCCATTCCAATAACTTTGCGTATGCATCTAAGAATTCCAAAAAGAAAGTTACTGCAGTCTGAAATATATGCAGAAAGCCAAAAATTTCGTGAATTAAAAATAAAAATCGATCGCTCGCGTCTTTCTAAATGACAAACGATTTAACTGATTTTCTCTATCATCTGCGCCTTTCTTGTTGGTCTAACCTTGCGAATCAAAAGTAACTTGCAACGTTGAATGAAATAAGTAAAACATACGAGATCTTTCTTTAAGCTTACTGTGTACAAAGTGTCTAGAAAATGATCTCCTACGAGCCCAGCGTCCGTTGCCAGATTTTGAACCTCCATTAAAATAGGGGGCGGGAGGCTTGTTGTAAATATTTCACACTTAATTCGTTTGTTATTTTAAAGCAACCCGCTCCTTACAGCTTAACTGTGGAATATATACAATGATAAGGAAAAGTCCTCTTGGAATTGTAAACTTGCTTTAGCTGTCGCGATCTGAAAAAAATAGGTTTGTATTGGGTTACAAGATAGAAAAGATAGATGGTTTGTTTTGATAACATTTTGACTTTGAGATACTTGGCCATTCAAAGTTGAAGATTTCACCCAGAAGCATTCCGAAAGGCTTCTTAGGTGACTTTTAAATGTGGATTCAGAAAAATAGACAACGCAGAATTCGGCAGTGTATGACTATACCGGGGATTCTTTGCCGAAGCTATTTAAAGCGATTTGGAGTTTAACAAAAATTTGTGCGTTGCACTGCAAACCCAAAGAAGCAGAAATCACAAATTCACATAAACTAATCTAGCAACCCTCCAGCTTCACAAGGAAAAATATCGCTATGTCTTGGAAAATAAAAAAGGTTTTTCACTTAAAAGAGCTCAAACTTTTCTTATTCGTGACCACAGTGACGTCCTCTAACGAGCTCTGATCGATTTCAGCTCCTCCTGCCGGGGCCGCGCGGCGGGCCCCCAGAGGAAGCGCGCTGTCTTGACTCAATTACGTTCTATTTACCGCCCTATCAGTTTACTCTTGGATCCTGGATAGAGGGACTCCGGGACCCGTAGGGGACAAGACACGACAGTCAAAGGAGAACTGCGCGGAGGCAACCTGGTGCCAAATCCGTCCTTTGCCCCCTCAAGTCGCTGCAGCCAAAACACCGCTTCCTAAAACATGCACCGTCCCACTGCCTCCTTCTCCCGCCACTCTCGCTGCCCTTCTCCTTTCTTCCTTCCTCCCTGCCTGTCCCGACCTCACTTCGGGTTTGCGGAAAGGCACCCGCGGCTCGGCCTGGGGCTGGCGACTCACCGCTGCTGTCCTGACAGGGCGAGGTCCTCTCCAGGCGCACGTGATGCTCGGCGCGGGGCAGCGGCCCGAAGGCCTGCACGCATTTGCCCGCCGACGCTTTGCTGTAAAAGGACTCATTGTCCAGCGTCTCCATAACGTGCTCCAACGCGCCTCCTGCGCCCATGTAGAAGTCACTGTTTTTACTCGGCGGGCTCTTGAGGGCAAACTTCTCGCTCAGAAACTCCATAATCCTGGAAGGCTGTCGCGGAGCTCCTGGGGCGCGGAGGCTGGAGAGCGCTGGGGGAGGGAGCGAGTGGGCGGGAGGAGGGAGGGCCCGAGAGGAGGGAAGGGGAAGCGAGCGCTGCGGCGCCGGGAGCTGCCCCGCTCCGAGCCCTTTAATCTGTCCCGGCTGGAAAGGGGGCACCCGAAGTTGCTTTTATATCTTGAAACTCAGCTGGGCTTCTCGGGCAACCTCCCAGTTCTAATGAATATGAAAATAGGCAGGCGACTAACTCCACCCCGGGTCCCCCTCCATCCCCACCCCACCCCCACCTTCCCCCACTTACCCGGGCAGGGCGCGTCCAGGCCTAGGTTAGACAGACAGCTCCATTTCAGACAAATGCCAGGAGGGACGAGGCCCCGACACCCAGAAACATTATCGCCGCGACTGTGGACTGGCATTTCGGAGGAGCTTGGTGAGATCGCAAAGCAGTTAACCCTCCACTCCTCGCTCTCTGCGCCCTCCCGGGCCGCCCGCCCGGCACCCGCTCCCCACCCCGCCCCCACGCTGGCCACTCGCTACCAGAAAGATTTAGAGGCGTCTTAAGAACTTGAAAGGAAGTATTGCTCTAAAGGGGTTTTATTTCATCCGTAAATCGTTTATGTGGAAGATCCACATTAATCCGAAGCCCAGGAAGCCGGATACGTTGGCAGCTATTAACCGGGACGGCCGTGGTAGAGGAGCCGCTTCTGCTTCTAACGGGAGGAGCTCGGCGTCCCGCCGCGCTCGGCGCTCACGAGCCCATGGCCTTTCCTTTCTTTCTGGAATGCGGCGGCGTGGGGACGTGGTGACGATGGGTGGGAGAGGGAAGCCGAGCAGGAGGCATTGAAACCGTTATACCCATGTCCACTTTTTTCCCCACTCTCCTCCCCACTTCTCTCGTTGGTCCACGATTTTATCGTTACATCCAGATTATTTTAAGAAAACTAGATAGGGAAAGTGCCTTCAAAGAGCCCTTAGCCTAGGCCAGAGGAAGGCACGTCACACAAAGGGGTTTATGAAGGAGGAAGGCTTTCAGCGAGATTTTTTAAAAATTACTATTTTCACTTTTAAGGAGTCGCGGTGGAGTTACTTAGAAAAGCGCGTGCGGGGAACCAGGGGCGCGCGCGCACGGGGCTGGGCGCACCGGCTGGGCGGCGGCTCCCGCTCGCAGGGCCGGGGCCTCGGGTCCCGCCGGCGGGGTTGGAAGGGCGGGCGGGAAGCTATCCGCTGCCTGAGGGCAAGCCAGCCCTGCTTGGTTGAAAGCGCCTGTGCGTGGTTTGGGCACTGAGTCTGGCTTCCAAGGAACCTGCGGTGTCTGCGGGAAATGCGTTCAGCGCCTTGGGCACGAAAAGTCAGCCATTTGCAACAGGCCTCTTAAACTGGCAAATTTGGTGAGAAGCTCCCACGAGTTGCGGACTAAAGACGGCACCTTCCCAGGAGGCCTTGGCTTGAGGGTTCTGATAGCCTTTCGCACACAGGCCCTCGCCGCGCCCGTCGCTTCCCCAGGCCAGCCTGGCAATCACGCCGCGGCCCTGGGCACGCCCGGCAGCCCCGACTCTGAGAGTGGTGAGGTCAAGCCCAACTCTAGCGGGCATCCGGATGGGTGCGGGAATTTCCACCCGCTTCGGGGGCTTGGCTGCGCCAAGACTCACGGCCACTCCCTCTTCCAGGCCAGGATAGGCCGCAGCCGGGGAGAAACAGTCTTGGAGCGTGGCGCACACCAGAGCTGCTCCATACCACTGCTCTAGAAGCGAGGCTGGCCGTGAACACCCGGATCGGGCCGGCGGAGCCCATCAGATCGGCCAGCCCGGAGCAGCAGCCTGGGTTCTCCCTAGACGCTCCTCCCGAGGAGGGGGCCAAGCTCAGTTCACACGGCGCCGCACTCCGCAGGGCCTTGAGAGCGCGCTCAGGTTCTGGCGAGTTGACGCTATTCCTGGAATTATGTAACTTTTCTGTATTATGACTACCTCCCGACCTGTGCAGCTAGCACCAACAACGAATTGTTAGATCTCAAGGGGGCGCGATCAAAGAAAAGCTTTCCGGGACTGCGCTCCGGGAGAAAGCCAGACTGCAAGCAAGACGTGGGAACTCCAAGCCTGGCACCCTCCTGCAGGGCGAAAATAAAAGAGCCAAGGAAACGCAGGCGAGAGGGTGCCCTGGGGCATCCGGACTGTGCTTAAGGCGAAGGAGCAGCCGTGCGCTTTCTGGGCACTTCCTAGCCAGTTCCTGGGCCGCGCCTGCAGAAACGCTGGATGTCGAGCTATCCACTCATTCCTGCGTGGGTCGATGATTTTCGATTCTCTCCTATCCCCCTCTGTACCTTACCTTCAATTTTTCTGAAAGTCTGACTTTCAGACATGGGGAGATTAAGAGACATGGTCGTTAAATCGATTTTTCAAATATTCACAGCAGCAAGATCAACGCCTTGCTGACTTGAGGAAATATACAAACAACTCCTAGCTATAAACTTAGTTATGTCGTAGAGCTCTGTCAGCTTGTTTATAAATATGCGTCTTAAGAGCCCTAAATTCCCTGAAAAACATTCGGTGTCTTTTAAATGAAAGACATATGATGCAAGCTCTAGCGTACTTGTAGCCAGGAAAGGTCCAGCTCACAGAGAGAAATACAGGGGAGCCAAATGGGACAGCTGCCTAGTAAACCCGTTTCCTCCCCAAACCCAAAACCCACTTTTGATGGTAGTGGTTGGAGGGATGGGTGCAAGGTGTCACCAACCCCACTTTGTGTCCCTGGAATCTCCTGGAAATGCAAATCTATTATACGGAATCCTGTGTGCTTTGGGACATGTAACCACATGTCCCCATAAGGGAGGGAACAGCTAATGGCAAACTCCCATAACGAATGCTTAATCTGCAGTTTTTGGCATGAAGCTGCATCTCTGGTTGCCAAGAGCTGCGTTAAATGGATTTTGAGAGGTTGAGTTGCAGTTTATGGTAGTGACACAGCTCTAGCCATTGGAGCATTAATGATAAAATAAAACTAATTAAAACAATCATAATTAAATGATTTCAGGAAGTCGCAAAAGGGAGAAGAAATTGGAGGCTGATTGGATAGGAGGCTGTCTCACGTTCCCTGAGATGTACCTGGCCTTTTTCTGCCTGATGCTTTGAGGATAACCTTCTTGGAAATTGACCATAGCACTTCGATAAATACTTTCAGCTACTCTTCCCAGCCGGGCTTGGCTCTTTCTTCCTCAGCAGGCTTTTAAAATCTGCTCTTAATTCTCATTCCTTATCCCAACCCTCCCCAATTCTGACCACTTGGCTTGGCCAGGGCCCCAGGGGCCAGTTTTCTCAGGAACCTTGGCTGGCAACAGAGACGCGGTTTATTAAGCCAGGTTCTAATTGGGATTTTATCTCAGCAGGCTCAGCCTATCAGCTCCAGGCTACCATTCCCTTCTTTGTTCCTCCTTTCTATTTCGCCTCTGAGAACATTCTTCAACTCTTTCCATACCTGGAACCCAGGTTCTAAACCTGGGATTCAGCTCCCCATCTTTCCTGTCAGTCAAGAAACCAACCTGACATAAAAGCCCTTGCAGGAAGTGATGGGAGTGGGGGTAGGAGAGGGAGGGAGGAGATGGGGAGCCATCAATTTCTTTTAAAGCCTAACAAAATTGAGGACATCCCAGGAGTCCAGCACTTTGAGATCCCTGGGCGGTGTGTAGCCATTGATGCTTCTTCACATCTCCTTGATGGTTCTGAGGCAGCGCCTGCAGAGGGAGTGAGAAAGGAAGGTGCAGAGTCCAGAAAGGAAAAGGATGAGGCTTAGGGAGCCCTATTGCAGGTTCAGGTGTCAGGCTTTTTGAAACACTGTTTTCTCCTCATTCCTCTGGCACCATCGGATGCTCACACAGTGGAAAGGCTATTTTGTGAAGTGACTCTGATGCTCCAATTTGAAGTTGCATCTAACATTTCTGCCAACAGCTTATTGTTGCTGTTGTTATGAAGTGTCAATCCCCAAACATAGTGATTTGGAGTGTTTTTAAGAAGTTTTAAATAGTTTCTTAGAATTCAAGTAATTGAAAAAGTTAAAACTAAATGAAAAGCCCATTGAAATGACTATTTGACTCCCCCCACCACACACACACAAAGGTAGGTTCAGATAAGTCAAATTCAGATAAGGGATTTGCTGTCTGTCAGCTTGATTTATTTACATTAAAAAATTCTCATGATCTAAAAGCTGCTCTTAATGCCTCCCACCCCCATGAGAATATATTTTGGGAAATAAAAAATATGTGAGTAAATACATCAAAGCAGCCGTTGAAACAATGTGTAGACCACCCTAGTTCCTTTCTTTCTCAACTTATTGAAAGAAATGTCACACTTATATAGTAACAGTGGGAATGTCAAGATAGGATTGCAGAAATTTCAGTCTTAGCACTTTATTTTTGCGGTGAGAGTTGGAGCATAGTAAAGTAAGTAAAGCTAGGAAAAATGCATGCTGAATCAGATGAACTGTGCCAAATGTAGAAAAGCAAGAGTCTGGAGAGGGGAGGGGAAGCTGGGTGGAGGGAAAACTTTTATGAAAAAGTACTAAAATAATTGAATGTCATGTATGATGGCAGGAAGCCAGATGGCCTCATGTTTGTGTGTGCTCCGCTGCTGTTCTCTTTCCCTGGCTTCGTCTTTCGCCTTCCCACAGCTCTACAGACATAACAGATACAGAAATACATTTTGCATAGAAGCAGCTCAAGAAGTTTTCATTAAAATAAAAATATGTACACATACAAATAAATATATGTTTATTATTTTATTATTATTTTTATATTATTTATTTTACTTTAAAATGTATGTTCCAATCCATCATCGTCTACTCCAGGAAACACATTTACAGACTAATACATAATTTTGTCACAATTTGAAGCTTCCGTATTTAAAATTTACAATCAATTACCTGAATTTTAATCAACCTTATCAGTCTTTCAAGTGTGCTGTTACAATGCTCAAATATAATAGATTAAATTTACCTGTGATTTCAGTAATAACATCAGGTATTTGGTATTTCAGAAACTCACATGATTTTTCAAAGAGCTACTTTTGTTTTTGAATTTCAATTTGTTTCCATAATAGTTTTTCACATAGTTGCCTCTCTTCTTAAGGAGAGAAGTGGATTTTTCTGCTCTCCTAAAGGATCCAATTTAAATGTAAAAATATAAGGCGGCTATTTTCCCCACGTACAAATATTTTGACATCTAACA